AAGACAATGAAATGTCGCGATGGTTAAAAGAACATAATTCAACCCATCCTAACTGATAAAGCTCCTCCCTCACTACTGCTGCTTTTCTTATGATTCTAAATCTCAAATCCAAGAGCCTGGCCTCAGAAATACAAGCCCTCATGGAGAAATGACACTAAGAAAGAGACAAAGGGGATGTCCCCTCTTCCCAGCAACTACAGCAAGGGCTAAATTGAGGACGTTCACAATGACGTTCATCATACTCTCCTGAGAAGCATACGGACTTCTATGGAGAATCACAACTGAAGTCAACGTGTTACGATACTTCTCTGACATGTGAACAAAGGGATCTGAGAAGTCTCAAGCAATTTTTGCCACATAATGTGCAAAAATCATCCAAAGAACCTGCGGTCTGACTGGATGCCTTTCTTGGGCATTTGTGGCCCTGGATGCAGCATGCACCTCACACACCTGCACCATTACGGGGGTAAGGGCACAAGAGCTCTGGCTTCCATCAGAAGATGGTCATCGGGCATTTCCCAAGTCACCCACGTGAAGCCCATGAATCTACTAGACTTCTCATTCTGACAAGAGCTCTCAGTTTTGTCTCATTTAAATTAACACATCTAAAACTAAGGATATCAAGAAACAGTAATATAGCATGCAACTTAGAAATATGGAAGCGAATAAGAACGAAAGCTAAAAGAATCAAAGGGGTTGACTCCACAGAAGTAAAAACTGGGGGCGGGGACTGGGGTTGTGGAGTTGAGACCATGGACACTTCGCAGAACTACAAGGGTACTTCAAAAAATTCATGCAAAAACAGAATCAAAAGATAACAAAAATCCTTGCACAAACTTTTTTTTTTTTAAAGATGACTGGTAAGGGGATCAACCCTTGGCTTGGTGTTATCAGCACCGCACTCTCCCGAGTGAGCCACAGGCCGGCCCATTGCACAAACTTTTTGAAGACCCCTAGTATTTCACCTTCTCAACTACTTATACTTAAAGTCAGAAAGGGAAATAATTTCTTACGAAGTCAGGAAAGTAAACAAAGAGAAGGAAACTCCTGAGTTTACACCAGGGTCAGTCAGGGTCACCAGGGAAGCCGCCAGCTTCAGAGGCTGCAGGTCACACATCCTCCAGGAGCCAGAAAAGGCCCCAAAGGGAGCAAGTGGTTAGAAGGACCCAGAAGGAGAGGCATGGGGAGGGGCTGCTGCTGGCAGTTGTGACCTCAGTTGAGGGGTATGGGCACTAGAGGGATCCCCAGAGAGGGTAAATACCCTGACCTCACTTCCTCCCCTTCCTGGGTGCAGCTGGAAGCCAGTGGGCCTGAGAGAGCATAGAGTAAGACCCCCAACCAGGCCCCCCAATGATACGTGCTCCAGCAGTGCACCCAGGGAAACACGTCCTCGACAATCCATCTACCAGTGAGGCCCCTCACCACAACCCGCCCCCCACAATGTGCCCCTTCCAGGCAGCCTCCAGAGCAGAAAGCAGGGTGGAAAAGTCAGAGCTGTGTGCCGCCCCCGCCCCCCACAGGCTGCACCACAGCCATCCTCCAGGCAAACACCGCAGAATCTGGGGTGGTATGAAAATGCCGAACACCAAAACAGCAGTAACGGTGTCTTTATTTTCACATCAGTTTTTGTATTTCACGATCACCCTGGCAGCCTCTGTGCTGTGGCAGGGACCAGCAGCAGGCGTAGCAGGTCGATGAGGAATCAGGGGACATGGCCCCTTCATCTCAAGCCTTTGCAAGTAACATCACTGAGAAGCAACCAACAAAAATGCAAACATGACTCCTCTTCATCCCTCCATAGCCAACACGACATTCCAGGGCTGGGCGTGTCACACACAGGGGTGAACATGTCGAGGGCACAGACTTTGTGGAGGGCAACTACATAAAGGCTTGAAAGTAGACGTATTCTTGTTGCCAGTCACCTCCTGCCTAGAGAAAATCGTGCTTTTTGTGAACTCCTGACAATTCTGTTTGTAACAGGCAGAGGTAACAACACGCCGTCAGCCACGGCCCATGCGCCGGGCCACAGCACCTGAGCAGTGACCACTCTGGAGCCACGGGAAAGCTGAAGAAACACGGAAAGCCACCAGTAACTTATTAAGTGAAAAGAGCGAATTATAAAGCAGTAAACACGACAGGATCCCAACTTCATGAGATGCAAATATGTAAGTAAAGGAGAATTAACCTGAAAGAATCCCTAACGCACCAGTAGTGGCGACTGCTAGCTGCTGGGGTACGGACGATCTTTTCATTCCCTTCTTCTGTGGTAGGCAAGTTTCCTGTGCAAACTCACTGCTCAAACACCCAGAGGAACTCAAAAAGCAGACAGACCCTGTGGTAGACGGGAATGTGCAAAGGTCATGTGAAGGTCACAGGGCTGCCTCCAACTGCTGCCCTGCAGAGCCCAGCTTGCCAGCAGCCAGGGTGCTACTCAGCTGTGCGTAGGAAGGGGCAGAGCGTGGACCCTCAGAACACCCGGCACCCCACCCCAAACAAGCCTAGTCCCTGCATCCAGAAATGGTTTACAGATAACGAGCTGGTGACATGCCTGGGGCAGAACCTCCATCCCACTGAGAGGTGGCAACTGGGGGCACCCTATGCCTCCCGGGAAAGGTGGTGCCTCTGTCTGTATCTTGTGGTCTGAAGGCATCCAAGGGACACTGACCAAGTCCACATCCAGAAAACTGGATGCTGATCTTGGCCAAAAGGGATCAACTGCAGAACTGGCGATTCCTCTGATCCACTCGTCAGCGGGTGGAAACAGGTCCATGCTTCTAGAATCTACTTCCCAGCGACACCATCAAACCTGTGAGAGCACTGAGGTGACACCACAAAAGCGTGCGCTGGCACCTCTCAGCAGAGAGGTCCCTGCAGACCATCAGGAGCCTCAGGGCAAGCCCCCATCAGGTCAGGGGTGAGGGGTGTAAATGGAAGACACTGCACTGCACTCCAGCTGTGGCACCTGGACCCCTGGCCCGCCCTCCTCCACACACCAAAGAGATCTCGGCAGGAGTCTGCACACAAGGCCTGGCCAGTGGTTTTCCTAAACCTCCTCCCCAGCAGTCAACCACACCTCACTGTCCCGCAGTGAGGGGCTGAACGTGGCAAGGTCACTGATGCAACGTGGGCCATCCCCACCAGCAGGGACCCCTGGAGCCACATTAGTCAGAACCCAGCCCTCCGGATCCCCAGGCTTGGCCGTTTTCATTAGCAACGTCTGGGAAACCAAACTCAGGCTTTTATTTTAACACTTTGTGGAACTAAAATGTGTTCTAAGCTTCTCTCCTTACACTCAAAAGAGAATCATCAAGACAGAATAGCTCACTGCTGACAACACTAAACCCCTAGGGGGTCACACAGGGGCCCAACAGGCCATCCTCAGCTTGAGAACCGGGGGCATGCTGCCAGCGTGGACTTGTAAGGAGCCGCCAGCGTGGACTTGTAAGGAGCCTCCGCTCAGCTTTTCCTCTGCTTCCTCCTGCCTGAGCTCTTCCCTCCTCACCCGAATGTGGCTCAGCCTGTGCATTCCTGAGCTCCACGCGGGCAGCGCTGGGTCACCTCTACTTCCCCCCCAGGACTGCTCCCCGAGATGTCTCCATCGCCAGCAGCTTCACAGGTGTAGACGCGTCAGCCAGTTTCCCCTCTCCTGACTGGCCCCCACGTTGTCACTGTGGGGTCTGACTCTGGTTTCCTCGGCCATCTGAATCCCCTCCTGCTGTTGGGTCGCCTGTCCCCCAACCGCTGCGGGTGTCCCATGACAGATGCACACACTGGCCTCCGTCAGGCCTCCTGCACCTCTGAGCACGCACCACTCTCCTGTCTACTCTGAAACAGCAAACACTAGCCCGCTCCTGGCAGCAAAGGAGACATGGAACAGGCCAACCTGCCCTCAGCGACACTGCTGTCCAGACTGCTGAGGAAGCTGAGACTTCTCCTAGCTCCCCGGCTGAGGCAGCACTTGCCTATGTGGTCTGATACTGCCACTGTGTCCCAGGAGGCCATGTCCCCACTCCAGGAGCCCCTGCACACCTGGCAATGCCTACTCCCACAGCCCTCTCTACCCCAGCTCCAGCCCTCCAAGGCAGATTGTGCCCAAGTCCACGTGGGGATACCTGAGCCCCAACATTTCCACCACTGACCACTGCACAGATGATGCGAGGATGAAGATGCCAGGACCTGAGGATGCCCAGGACTCAAACAGTGGTCCCAACCTTCAGAATGCAGCCTCCTGATGTGGAGGGGCCCCGCCTTCTCAGTGAATCTCCAGCCCCAGCCCCCTTGCGACCACAGCAGGCTGTGACCCAAGTTCCCCCAGGCGGCACCAATGCTACAGGCTGAGAGGGGAGGACACATGGAGCCCAGCCTCTCTCTGGGGAGGCCAGAGCCTGCCTGAGGCTAGAACTGAGGGTTACTGACCAGTCCCCTCCACTAGACAAGCCCTTGCAAGCTATGGGTACATCCTTCACACCCAAACCTGCTTACCCCCACCCAGGCAAGGGGCTGTCCATGCACCTGAGTGGCCAAGACCAACTGATGCACCTGGTTAATGTCCACCAGAAAAGCAAACAGGAGCCTGGATTTCCCAGCAGTATCAGCTGAACAGCCTGCAGGAAATCTAGATATTTGTTATGTAGGTATCATCTGAGCTCCCTGCAAATATTTAAATATCATCTGAAAAATTATTCATTGCTCTAGTTAAGAGGAAGAGACAGTGACACCCAAAAACCCCAACTACACCACCAGCCCGCCAGCCGTGTGGCTACGAAAACGCATTAGAACCCACAGGAACTGAACACGCACTGGGGCTGGGGAGCGCGGCTGCCTCGAGTGAACATGAGCACACTGAGCACACCAGGCATGCCCGGCAGCGACTCCAGCAGAAGAAAACCACCGACCGGCCGCCACCACAAAAGATCCCCACCCAGAAACTTGACAGCGGTCAAGGAACGAGGTCTCCCCGATGGCTGGAATGAAGGGCTACGCCTCCTCCTCAGACCTACCTGCTTGTCTCATGAGCTCTCCTCCTAGACCCCTATAAAATGGATGAAAACGTTCAGAGTTAAAATCTTCTACTATATAAAACAGGAAATATCCTCACCAAGTAACAGATGTCAATTAGTTGAATTTGTCATGAAAAGTGTGCACTACATTTTATGAAAAGAAACGAAAATATGTGACCACATCACTTTCTGGAGCTGTCTTGTTCTAACTGGGCTGATTCTGATTTTCGATTTAAACCTTGCTGCTATTACCCACATCATACTATCACAAGGAACTACTTCCAAACAGGGCTCACCTCGTACTTTATAAAGACTGAAGTAATTTGGGACACCAGACAGTTATTATTTAGCTAGAGAAGCAATCCACGAAGGTTCTGTCATAAACACAGCAGAGAGAGGGCGCACTGCCTGCCCTGCCCTCCTGCCTACCTAACACACGACACTGACACCAGGACACTGGGGGACAGACAGGTGAGAAGACAGAAGTTATTCACAGACTGTGGCTTGTGGCCTAGATGGGGAGACGGGATGTGTACCTGCCCTCCCACCTTAGACAGCTGGAAACCTGGACAAAACACAGGAATCGCCAGTGCAGACATTGGGGCTGAGGCCCAAGAAGGAGGAGCCTCCCAACACCACAGGGAACTGCCTGGAGGAAGTTTCCAGGCACTGAGTGGGGGGCTGAGTTGGGGAGGTGGGGATGAAGGAGGGAGAGGCCACCACAGTTAGAGACTGGGTGGCAGAGGAGCAGCCGGAGAGGGCCCTGGGTCCCCTGGAGCCCAAGACTGATGCTGAGCTGCATGTGCAGACGGGACGACTCCGGTCTGGGAGGACCCAGGAAAGCTGAAGGCAGGGAGGGAGGCTTCATCCCTTCAGTATGGACAACAGGATGGAGCTCACCATCCGACAAAAGTCACACTAAAATCCCACTAGAAAAATGAGCAGAACGGGGCCGGCCCGGTGGCGCACTGGATATTGCGCCGCTTGGGAAGCGCGGCAGCGCTCCCGTCCGAGGGTTCGGATCCCACGTACAGACCGGCTCCCGCTCACTGGCTGAGCGAGGCGCGGGAGCAACGCCGAGGCTTGCGATCCCGTTGCCGGTCCCCGGTCCAGTACGGGGGCAACACTGAGGGTTGTGATCCGTTGCCGGACACGGAAAAAAGACAAAAAAAAAAAAAGAAAGAAAAATGAGCAGAACAGCCCCAGAGTGGGAGAAAACATGGCAAATCCGTGTCTGATAAAGAGCTCACATCCAGAACAGTGAAGAGCTCAAAAAGATGAAGACAGACGACAAATTTTCTAATGAGCAAAAGGTCGGAACAGTCACTGCACCAAAGAAGATGCAGGAAAGCCCCATCAGCACACAAGAAGACACTCAGCATCACTGTCACTAGGGAGATGCAAATTACAGTGACACAGAGACGCACCTGCAAGGGCAGTGCGAGTCCAAAGCTGGCCACGCCGAGTGCTGGTTGGGACACAGAGCACCAGGGTCCGGGGGAAAGTGGCGCAGCCCCTTTGGAGAAGCTGTCAGTATTGTACAAAACACACACGTGTACCACGTGACCAGCAGTGTCGCTCCTGGCGTCCACCCAAGAACGAAAACACACTTCTGCATCCAAACCAAGACATACCTGCCAATGCTCATCACAGGTTCACTCCAAAGAGCCAAAAGCCGGGAAGAACTCAAACGTCTGTGACCTGTGAGTGGACCAGCACACCGACGTACACACACAACACAGACTGCCACTCAGCAGTAACAAGGAACATATTAATACATGCAACAACATACACAAATCCCAAAAACATCACACTCACTGAAAGAAACCAGACCCAAACAAAGGCTCCTTACTGCGTGATTCCACCTATGCAAAATTTTAGCAAATGAAAACTAGTAACAGGGCAGGTCTGGGGCTGCACAGGGCGAGGGTCTGGGACGGATCAGCTGCAATGGCGTGGAAGGAAGTGGGGGCTACACAACCATCTGTGGTCACCAACCCGTCAAACCGCAGCTTAACATGAGTAAGTGTATCTATCGCATGTCAAGTGAACCTCCACAAAGCATAAAAATACCAACTAGGTTAGGCCCTTGAGGTCCCTGCATACTGAGCTAAGTGGCTGTAGCACCTATTCAGACAAAATAAACACAGAACACACAACACACAACAGTAAGGAAGAATCGAATAAAAGCCCCATAAGTCAGCTATTCAAAACCTAGCCCAGCCTTTCCCTGACAATACATTTTTTCATTAAGACAAAAAAAAAAAGAACTTTGGTTTTGTAAAGCTTACCTGTATAACTGACGGTCATAAAGCTGAAAATAAAGGATTGAAAATTAGTAATTTAAGCAACTTGGACTTCTTATTTAAATAATATAATAAGTATATAATATTAACAAGTATCAAAATGAGAATAGTTGGAAGATAGCAGAGCCAAACGTCCCTGAGGGCTGGGCCAGCCAGGAAAGCCAACACACCATCTCACGTAATCCCCACCCAGGAGGTCACTCAGAAGGGAAACCAAGGCACAGAGAAAGGAAGGACGAGGGGGACCAGCCAGAGGCTGAGCTGCGCTCGGCAGCAGGTCTGACAGCTTCTGCAGCAGGAAACTAACTGTGCCAAACAGGATTCTGATGTTTCCTCTTCTTTGAAAGAGCTTAAAAGCACTTCACAATACTATTATCAATTACCATTACAACTAAAATTTACTGATGTTCGCAGTTGGCCAAAAATTCCACTGAACTCTTGAAATCATTCTTGAACTCTCACAAACACTCAGGGAAGTAGGTTCTATCATTACCTGTACTTTACAGAAAGGGAGCCTGGCTCAGAGACCTCACTCGGCTCTCCCAAGGCTCCCGCTGGCGGGTGGCCTCCTTCGTGGTCCCTGCACTTCCACCCGCACCTGCCAAGTCAGAGAGCGCCAGACTCCACTGCCTCTTGCCAAACCACAAACCAAGCTGAGGCAGGGGCAGACGTGGGTCTGAGACCAAAGTGGCACATCATCATATGAAGAAGAGAATCTCAAAAGACATGACACTCCACTGGAACAGACAGTGAAACCACCCAGCTCCTTATGAGTGATCCTGATATCCTGTGATACTCAGGTCCACAGTTCACACTTTACCTCTCTGAGTCACAAGTGCTTTCGAGAATCTCAAGAACCCAGAAAAGCACACACACACACCTCCCAAGGGAAATGCAAAAAACATCTTGGGTTTAATTTCAGGGCCTCAAGAGCCCAGCTGCAGATGCAGGCTGGAAATCAGAGGCCTCCGCACTCTTCTTTGTGCCGCTCCCCACACAGGGAAGAGGCCACTGCAACGAGGACCAGACACCCCAGTCAGCTGGGTGCGCCAGGTGAAGAGGGCACCAGGCGCCACGGAGGGAAGCCTGCGCCAACAGCACTGGCTCTTTGCTGGGCATCTGAGACTGGGGACATTGTGACCACGTGAGAAGAGAGCCTGCACTCACTTCCCATCCCAGACAAACCCCTAGGTGGCTGGCCACAAGAGTGACACCAGCACAGAGGACCCACTCCCAGAGCAATCACACCAGGTCAGTCCAATGCACTCCAGGACTGATGAGGCACAGTGGCCTGGGACTTCAGACCAGACTGAGGAAGTGGAGAGACGCCGAGCAGCCAGGCAGACAGTCCCCAGTCCCACGACGCCTCATGGGAAGACACACGCTTGGGTGGGCTGCACACGAACCTGCTGGTGAATCTGCTTCAGGTGCTGCACTGCCTTGTTGTCCAGGTAGTCTGTGACAGGTCTGCAGAAATTCAAACACACCCGCTGAAGCCATGGGGACCAAGCCCTGACCCCAGGTACACATGAGGAGAACACAGGCTCAGGAAGATCTGCATCTTGTTCAGTCCCCAGCCGGTCTCATAGACCCCTGCAGGTCATATCCCCATTTCTGACTTTAGGTAAAAGCAGCGTCAGTTCAAAAGGGGTGGACGTAAGGAAGCTCCCATAAAGGTTTGACCTGTGCAGCCAGTTTGCTAAGGACAGCAGACCCCTGCAGGTCATATCCCCATTTCTGACTTTAGGTAAAAGCAGCGTCAGTTCAAAGGGGGTGGACGTAAGGAAGCTCCCATAAAGGTTTGACCTGTGCAGCCAGTTTGCTAAGGACAGAGACGGTCCTGTGATCAGGAAGGAGCCCTGCTGAGAGCTGAGTTCCCACTGATGTGAGCCCTCTGGAAGACTCAAGTCCCCGATGAGGCTGAGATGAGAGCTCACCCGTGGGCCTCACTGCTGTCCTCAGCAACACCACTGGCAAGGCCGGCCCTCGGCTGGAGTCAGGGAACGTGGACTTCAGAGAGTTCCCACAAGCCCCAACTGATAAGGGTGACTCACTGGGCCTAGACGTTTGGACAAACCGTGTGGTTTACGCTGAGCACCTGCTTTCCTCCGGGGGTCTGGAATCCTGGCATGTGCCAGGCAGAGATGCCTATGTGACCAGCCCCCAATAAAACCCTGGGCACTGGGGTAGACAACACTTCCCACATGTCGTCACAACTCACTGCTGGGGGAATTACATGTGCCCTGTGTGACTTCACTGGGAGGAAGCTCATGGAAGAGACCCTAGAAGCTCATGCCTGGTTACCCCCAGACCTTTTCCCACCCCTTTGCCCCAAGCACCTTTTCCCACAACCAAAGAGAGAAATGCCATAAAGCCAAGTCTCAGCTCAGCCCACAGGTGCCCATTCACTCCCACGCAGATGTCCTTAAAATGAAACATGGTCGAGTCTGAGCCCTGGGTCTGGGGAGAAGCTCGACCTGACTTATCTCAGGCTTAGGGGTGAGAGGTGGGCTCCATGTCCGCATCATGCTCTGGTTTTGCCCCCAGGGAATCACCTAAAGTGATGTGACATGACTTAAAATGTGGCTTTCCTCAAACTAGAGTCCAAGAACCAGGAAACAGATATTACAGTGAGCCTGTCAGTTCTTACTTTTGAGGAAGTCAATTGGAAAGAAAAGTAAGAAAGTCAAGTAGTTGCTTTAAAAACTCTCCTGTAAAAAAATAAATAAAAACTCTCCTGTACAGAACTTCTCAAATACCCTAATTACATGCTTTGTTATTATTTGTACAAATGTAGCCAACTGAAAACTTTTCAAGGGAAATTTTTAAGTGCACTCTCTGGTTTTTCAATGATTAATAAAGCATTTGAACATGAGGCTGCTCTGCACTGTCTCTGAAAACATGCCTTTGTCCTTGTCATCTCACTCCTTCCTCGGAAACAGGGTGGTGAGGATGACAGCAGCTGCCAGGCCAAGGCCCCGTGCAGAGGATGGGTGATCCCTGCGCAGATGCGACCCAAAGGAAAAGCAACCATCACAAACCTCACAAGTAAATTGTGGGACCCTAGAGACTGCAACACCACTGCAAATAAACAAAAACTAAGACGGTGAGATGTCCCCCACCCTGAGATCACTGCAATCATATGCAAGGGGCAGAGGCTTTCCCAACAGCTCACGAGTGAAGCCTAGCATCTTCCTACCTGTTCTCCTGTGCTGCGAGTTTGTACAAGGCATAAGTGACCTCTGCACAGGCGAGAACTGCCCCATGTCGCGTGTGGAGATCCGGACTCAGCGTCATCGATAACAGACGTGGGAAAACTGCAAAATGACGGGACAGGAGGATAGGTTGGAAGCCCCCACACACGGATAGTCTATCGAACACAAACACACACTGAGCATGCTCTCTCTCTCGGGGCAGCACAGATGGCAAAATCTCCAACACATGGAGACCCTTCAAGGCAGCATGATAGTGCGTGGTGTTGCCAGGTCCCCAGACGTGGGGGGTGAGGGGGCAGGCAAACGATGTGAGGAGAGAGCAGGAAAAAGGAAAACAGACACTGTTTCTCAGATCTTTCCTGTCTGTGCATCATGGCCTGTTAGGAGCCGGCAGGCGCTCTACTTGGGGAGGGGGCAGAACAGGACCGAGAACCACAGGCAACCAGAGCAGCTTCCATCTACCTGCAGTGGCGCCTCAGCTCAGGAACTGGTAAGAGTCTAAGCATTCTGTGCTCTGGAGAACAGAAAGCAAAGACTCATCAGAACCCCTAGAGGAAGCGACTGGCTCCACCACATCTGCCTGAGGAAACCAAAGCTCCTCTGCACCTCAGCTTCCCCATACATACAATCAGGACACCAGCAGCCTTGCGAAGGTTGTAAAAATCAGAGACAAACTCCAACCCAAGAAAGCACCCGCACACAGGCGCTCAAAACGCAGCAGCTGGAAGTGGCTGGGTTTTAAATAACTGGGGAAATCTACAAAAGGTCAAATCCCTTATCCGGGGGCTCAACACTCTTGAACTGGGAGGAAGGTTAAAGTTGAGGCCTCATGCATTCGGTCAGCAAGGACTGATCACTCAACTGAATGTAAGTAAACGCCACACTAAGTTTGTGACATCTAAGTTTAATTAACAGATCCTGAAGCCAGAAGGTCCCTTCAGATCTATCAAGCCCCAAACCTTCATCTGAAGTCCCACAGTACGATAAACATGCACATAAGTAAAATCAGTAGTTACAAATGAAGAGAGAGCCACAATTCAACCTCAGTTTAATCACGGTAATGAGTATCAATAGAAATAAATGTAATTCTGAGAAATCTGTGTATTGTTCCCTGCTTTTAAATCAGGTGCTTATTTATTACAAGTAAAAAAGACAAGACAGAACAAATAGGTTTCTTTCCTTAATGATAATGAAATACAACAAACACAGCCTAGGCTGTTCTACTCTGAAGTGCTGTTACACTGAGGCAGACTCTGCGTCTTCAGTGTAGGCCCATTTATAGGCCTTAACAAATTGAAAAGAGTGTTCTTTTGTAATGGGTATGAGCCGCCAGGAAACCAGGGAAGCACCACAGCGTTGGTCCAGTGTTTACAGGAACCAGCACCATTTCTTAATGCACAGAATATGACCCAGCAACTCCCTGCTCTGTGGGTGAGTGCCTGCCTGGCATAGCCCAGAAGCTGCTGGTGGACACATGCACTGCACCCATCCTTGTATTCTGTCCCCTGGCCAAGCCCACAGCTAGTTCTTCAGACACTTCTCAGCAAGAAAGAAATAGAACATTATCTTCAGACCCCAGGCCTTTAAAACCAGGACAGCCCCATCCATATCTTTCTGCTATGTGTGTGTGTGGTGGCATGTGGCACCTGCAAGATGGCCAGAGCACATACCTACCGTGAGTGGCGCTGTACTCAGGGGCCCGCTGGGTCAGGTTGTGCAATGCCTTTGCTGCGAGCTCTCTGATGACCCTGGGGGGAAAAATGTTAGTTTCTTTATTTTGATGATTCTAGCTTTATTCAATTTATTAAAAGAAAGGAAAGACAGTGTACATGAATCCTCAACTGGCCACTTAGTCAAGACCACTAATGACAATAAACTCACAAACGAACAAACACATGAGAACCTCTGATTATAACCAATGAGAAAGAGAATTCAGCACAGTTAAATACTTGAAATGAAACAGCTCAACACAGACCTCAGGACACAGCTGCCAATCTCCCACGTGCCATGTGGCAACACGGGCCTCCAGCCTCCCCAGCCCCAAGCTATCCGGAAGTTGCAAGTGTTAGGCAGAACCATGTGAGTCTGTCGCTCTGAAGACTACAAAGGTGGGACATAAGGAATTTCACATGGTTCAACCTAACAAGTATGAAGCACATATGTTAGTACAGAAATATCTTTAAGCACAACATCCAAAATTCTAGTGCAAATACTGGACAGTAGGGCACAGGGACCAGCAGAAGGTGGCCCCAGGACTGACAGGGGAGGCCCAGACCCAGCCCTCTCCCTCTCCTTCCAGTGCTCCACACAGAGACAAGACAGAACACTGGAGGGCGACGTGCAGAGCCCAGCCCTCCCGGCACTAGAAAGCACTAGAAAGATGGAACAGTGAGAGGTCATTGCCTAAACTAACGACTGGGGTAACTACCTAACAACACAGAGGCATGATAAGAATATTGAGGTGGAAGCGTGCAGAAGTGAGCTGCCTGCATTTTGATCACTGAAAACAAACCCAAAGCACAGGGTGAAACATGGAATGACGGAAGCAGGAAGACTCCTCCCCATTCCTGGGCAACATAATCTTCCCCCACCCGTCCTGCACCAGCCCAGGGCTCCTCACACCACAGTCCTGCTTAGGGACCTATTTCTAACAGTGAACAGAGAGCTCCTCAAGGCAGGTGACGGCTCACATGCCAAGAAACTCAACAGTGCATGCCCACACCCACCACACCCAGACACTGAGCACCCCATAACGTGGGTCAAAAAGAACAGGGGTACTGCAGGGTCCCCTCCACGCCCTCCACAAACTGTCTCCAGGAAGCCATTCCACATGAAAAACCAGTGGATAGACTCAGAAGTGAGAACTGTTTACTCCAGCAAGAAGAAGTCCCAAGGCTACAGAGGGGGCAGGTGCCCCGACAGGCTGAGTTAACACATCTTTCCCAACTGCTGCCACTTTGAGCACAGCGTTCTTTATTTAAAAATATTTATTATCTAAATGTAAAACCTGAAACCATAAAACTCTTGGAAGAAAACACAAGACAAACACTTCATGATGCTGGATTTGACAATGATGTCTTGAATATGATAGCAAAAGCACAAGCAACGATAGTAAAAATAAAGTAGACAGCATTAAAATGAAGAACGTCTATGCAATGAAGAACACACCCAGCAGAGTGGAAAGGTATGAAATGAAGGAAAATACCTACAAGTCATATATCTGATAAGGGATTAATATGAGGAATATACGTACAAAGAACTCCTATACATCAACAAAAAAAATAACTCAATCAAACAATGGGCAAAGGACCTGAACAGACATTTCTCCAAATATGATATACGAGTGGCCAACAAGCACATGAAAAGGTGCTCAGCACAGCTAATCATTAGGGAGGTGCAGACCAAAACCACAGTGAGACACCACCTCACACTCACTGGGATGGCTACTATCAAAAAAAAACAAAAAGTAACAACTGTTGACGAGAATGTGAAGAAACTGGAACCCTTCTGCACTGCTAATGAGAACATAAAATGAATGGTCCAGTTACTATAGAAAACAATACAGTGGGGTTCCTCAAAAAATTAAAAATAGAATTACAATGTGATCCAGCAACTCCACTTTTGAGTATATATCCCAAAAAACTGAAAGCAGGATATCAAAGAGCTATGTGCACAACCATGTTCATAGCAGCATTATTCATAATAGCCAAGAGATGAAAGGAACCCAAGGATCTATCAGTGGATGAATAGATAAGCAGAATGTGGTATGTGGTCCATCCACACAATGGAATATTATCCAGCCTTAAAAAAGAAGGTGATTCTTACACATCCTACAATGTGAATGAACCCTGAGGACATTGTGCTAATAAGCTAGTCACAAGACAAAACATGCTACAGAATTCCACTTATACGCAGCACCTAGAGGAGTCAAATTCATAGAGACAGAAAGTAGAATGGTGGCTGCCAGGGGCTGGGGGAGGGGAACAGACGTACAGCATCAGTTTTGCAAGATGAAAAAGTTCTGGAGATGGACAGTGGTGATGGTTGCACAACAATGTGAATGTATTTAATGCCAATGAACTGTGCACTTAAAAATGGTCTAGATTGTAAATATTATGTGTATTTTACCACAATTATAATTATGTCAAATTTATATTTATCCTGACATATAAATTATATTGGGTATTGCTAAGTATCACAAAACTTTTAAAAAGAAACCCAAGACAATGGACCAATACTTCTTGAAAAGGTATATTACTAAAACTGTAACAGTGTATTTATACTGCTAAAGAGGATTTGTGAAGAATTCTATAAGGCTCCCCTTTTTTGTGAACACTGTTATTTACCAGAAAATTAGAGAGACCCTATTTATGAACTTTTAGCTGCTTTCTGCTAGAAAGATTTCCACAAAGAATTTTTTTCTATAATATTTATCTTAGAGAAAAAATTTTTTAAGGGCTGAGCCCGTGGCGTACTCGGAAGAGTGGGGCGCTGGGAGCGCAGCAGCGCTCCCGCCACGGGTTTGGATCCTATATAGGGATGGCCAGTGCGCTCACTGGCTGAGTGCGGTGCGGCCAGTCTCAAAATGGACCAAAAAAAAATTTTTTTTTTAATGAAACTAATAACAAAAAAGCCATGAGAAAAGATAGAAAACAAATAACAAAATGGCAGGTATAAATTGAACCATGTTGATAATTACAATAAATGTGAATGTACAAAAAAAAAAATTTTTTTTAATGAAACTAATAACAAAAAAGCCATGAGAAAAGATAGAAAATAAATAACAAAATGGCAGGTATAAATTGAACCATGTTGATAATTACAATAAATGTGAATGTACTAGACACCCCACACAAAAAGGCAGAGATTGTCAGACTGGATATAAAAGAAAGACCCAACTGTGTGCTGTCAACAAGGACATGTCAGAGTCAAAGACACACAAACTGAAAGTAAAAGGACAAACAATTAACTAGAAAAGAACTGGAGTCACTATGATAGAGGGTGATGATCTTCAGCCAGCAGGCCAAACTTGGCCTTGGGGCTCTTTTTGTAAAGCCCTAAACCAAGAATGGTTTTCACACTATTAAAGGTTGTATAAAGAAAAAAACAATAAAATACACGAGAAAGAGACCTAAGGTATTTACTATCTGGCCCTAAGAGCTTTAAAAAAATAAAGCTTTCCACACTGTACACAATAACGATGTCAAATTACATGTTAAGAAATCTAACATGAGACAGAGAGGGACACTTAATAATAATAAAGAGCCAATACATTAGGAAGATATATAGATTATAAATGTATACACATCTAATAAAAGACCACCCATATGAAGTGAAAACTGGCAGAACTGATAGAAGAAATGGACAATACAGTGACAGCTAGAAATTTCAATAGTTCAAACACTTAATCTAACACCATGGGTTACACAGAATCTTGGTTTTAAGTATCTTATTGACTGATAAGCTGGTGTAATAGGCAAATTAACTAATTTCTCCCAGTCTCTATAGGGTCTTTGCTCCTAATTATGAGAGTTTGGGGTATCATATTTGCAGGTATGCCTCGAATGTCAAAAACTTACGCAATTCTCTGGAAGTTGAGGATTTCCAGCAAGGAAACAAAGGGAGAGTACTCTTGGCAGCTGGACCACAACCAGCTCAAGTGGCACAACAGGAGATACTTCTCTCGTCAGAGGTTCCCCATTCCCAAAGAAAGCCCTGCCTAGATTGCACATTGCAGCAGACAGCTTGGCTACTTGGCCATACAGCAGCAATTATCACATACTTTCAAGGCCTTGGTCCTCAAAGAAGGATGTACACCCTAACAAGGCTACTTACATCCACAGGCATTCACTGTTCCTGAGATCTACTGTCTGTGTGTAACAGGCAGCAACACCAAGTCTTCTCTGAGAAGGTCAGCTGACTTTCCTAGAAGTGGTAATAACGGCGCTAATTCTCTGTTTATGTTATGGATTACACACTCAGCTTTTCCCTTTGAAGAGACATACTTAACTGCCTATGAAATATTAAAATACCCTGAAACTGCTACTGTAATTATGAAATAGCCACTAAAGCCTGCTCGGCTCCCAGGAGACAATGCAGAAGACACCGAGAGTGGCCATGCAGAGCAGGATCAGGGTGAGGGGCATGTCACTGGGTGAAGGAGATGAGGTGTGTCCCTGCCACCCAGGTTACTCCAGTCCTCAGGTGGCTAGTGCCCTCCACCACATGCCAACACAGGGCACTCCCATGGGAACATTTACATCAGACATAGTTGGCTAAGGACTCCAGAAATGAAACCAGAGATAGACCATTCACCAACATGTCAGACATGAAGGCTAGAATCTATACTACTTCTCAAAAGGTATTTTAAAATATATTTACCATGAAAAAATATAATCAAGGCTTATAAGCACAATTTAATCTCTCCTTTGGGGGGTGGGGGGGGGACAATTCTTAGAGAAACACAAAAACATAAAACCTACCCGTCCCAATGGTTGATTTTCATGGTAACCAGGTGGTCTATCATTGGTTGGGTGTACTCAGGAAAGCCGGCAATAAACACACTGAAAAAAGACAATATTAAGAATCGGTGAAGACGTGGAGGAACTGGAACTCTCATACATGTTTGGAAAAGTGTAAAATAGCGTAATTACTTTCAAACATAGGCTGGCCATTTCTTCCAAAGTTAAAGACACCCACCATATGACCCAGCCACTCCCCATCTCAGCAGTTACCCACAGGAGAGGAAAGCATTTGTCCACAAAGACTTGCACACAAAGCTGCACAGTAGTTTCACCTGTGACAGCCAAAAACTGGAAAAAATCCTGAAATCCATCTACAGGTAATGGAAAAACAGACAGGTTTATCCATATAATCGATAAACAGGTTTATCATCAGCAACTAAAAGGAATGGACTTTTGACACATGCGATATGGATGAATCTCTAAATAAATATGCTGAGTGAAAAAAGTCAGACCAAAATAAGTACATACTACTTCATTTACACAAAATTCCTACTCCATTTACACAACATTCTAGAAAATGCAAACTAATCTATACTAATAGAAGCAAATCAGTGGTTGCCTCGGGGTGAGAGAGGACCAGAGGCAGGGACTACAGAGGGGCAGGTACCAGGAAACACTGGGGGTGAGGGACATGTTCACTACCTTGGTAGCAAGGTGACGGTTTTGTGGGGTATACCTATGTCAAAATTAGCAAGTTGTACACTTTATGCACAATTAAGGTAGGTTGACTACACTTCAACAAAGCTGTTATAATTTTTAAGAAAATGAAAAGGCAAGCCACAGACTGGAGGGGGAAAAAAACCTTTGGAATACACAAAAGTGACAAAGAATTTGTATCAGAATACATAGGGAAGATAAAATCCACATAAAAAATCAGCACAAGATTTGCACAGAAATATCACAGAAGATGATGAATAAAACGAGCATATACAAAGATGTTCAACATCAGCATTCAACATGGAATGCGAATTTAAACCACTACACCCACTAGAATGGGTAAAATCTTAAAAGACTGACAAATGCCGAGTGTGGGCAAGGATGTGCAGGAACCAGAACTTGCAACATTTCTGGTGGCAATGCAAAATCACACAGCCACCGTGCAAAACAGCATGGCAGTTTCTTATGAAGTTAAATACGTAAAAGTTCCCTTTTAAGTCTTTAAGAGAAATTAAAATATACATCCGCATAAAGACTTCTCTAAATAAATGTTCACAAAAGCTTTCTTCAGAGTCAAAAATTCAAAACAACCTAAATGTTTGCCAGCAGACAAATCAATAAACTATAGCTACAGAACAGTACACAACCTGGCAACACAAAAGAACAAGCTACAGATACACACAACAGCATGGATCAATCTCAAAACCATCACAATGCACGAAAGAGTCCAGGCATAAAAGCGCAGGTTCCTTCTGACTCCACTGGCACTCTGTAAAAGGCATCATGAACCTGCAGGCAGCAGCACCGGCGGGATCTAGGGCCAGTGGGGGGACTAAGCTCGGAGCTGGTGGGAACCCTCTACAGCCGAGGAAGGCACAAGTCACCCAGGTGTGGACAGGGTCAGCACTCGCTGAACTGTACATTTCACACAGGGACAGCTGATGGAGTGTAAATTATGCCTTAAAAATCAAAGTTACATCTCTTGAAAATAACACCAGAGAATTTCTAAAAATAATCTCCAAGTGAGATGGGTCTTTCTAATTATGACTCAAAACCCAGAGTCATGAAAGAAGAAATTGATACATTTAAACCATGACCCCAAAAATCTGTCTGCCAGAAAAAACACGCCAAAAAACAGTCAAAAGACAAATCAAGAAAAATATCTGCAACTTGTATCACAAACAGGAGACTTCTTTAGACATCTTCCAAATCAACGAGAAAAACTTCATAGTCTAGTAGAAAAATAATAAAAAACAATTTATAGACAATACACGTATAGCTCAACCACTTGAAGCCACGTTCAGCCTCCTTTATGAGGGAAACAAAATCTCTCTCCCTGTCAGATGGCCCATGTCTTGGGTTTGCCACCACTGCAGGAGCTAAAAAACCAGGAAATGCTGCAGGGCAGCATTCTGATGCAGCCCCTGTGAACAGTGGCTGGCATCACCTAGGAAATTTAAAACATAAATACCCTCTGGTCCAGTAGGTCCACTTTTGGTAATCTACTCACGTATGTATAACCACCCAGGTGAGAAATTATAGACACAAAAACATCCACTCCATGTTGTTTATAACAGCAAAAGACCGGACAGAACCCAACAGCCATGAGGGGACCTGCACAGATCATCCTCCATGTCCCGAAGAGGAACGCTCTCTGAGACTCGAGGGCAAGAGAAGACACGTGGTGCCCTGCTTTCTCCACTCAACAGCGCCTAGAGCTGCCTCCTCATTTTCTAACAGCTGGACATTATCACGTAAGCAGCCTTCTACTGACGAACACATAAGCTGTTCTCAGCTGGCGCCCTGTACACCGCCACCGGGGTGGAAGGATGTTGGTCAGTCTACCTGTACACATGCTCCAAACAGAATCTACCTAGAAAACACAAGAAACTGGCAACAAGGGGCACACCAGGAATGGTCCCAGGCAATTGGGAGACAAGGTGAGAGACAGACTTGGTTTTCCATGAACATGCCTGCCCTTTCTGAATTTACAGCATGCACAAGTACCACCTATTTGAAAAGTGCACTTTTTTACAGTTTGTGTATCTAAACCTACAGTTTGTGTTGACTGTCACCCACATTAGCTGTCATGGGGCCTGAGAGACAGAGCAGACAGCACAGACAGCTGCACAGAGGAACAAGGACCCGCTGAAGAAGGTGACCTGGAGTGAGTGCAGATGACACGCAAGCCACGCATGCCGGCCCGGGAGAGTCAGCCAGGGAAAGTCTGCACACCAGAGGTGAGAGAAAGAAAAGCAGAGGCTTCTCCAAGAGTGAATGGGTAGCGTCCCCACAGAAGGTGATAAAACACCCTGAGAGAAAGTGAGAAGAAAAACAGAAAAATCAAGACAAGTCAGCAGTCAAGCTGTCAGAAACAGTGCCAGTGCCGAGCCCCCGGTTGTGCATCTCTCCAAGGAACCCTGGTGCCGAGGTGCTGCAGGGCATCCAACCTGCATGCCTGGCTGACAGACCACACCCAGGCCAGTGTCTGGTGCCCAGCAGCAGGGGTTGGTGAGGAAAGCAAAGAACCAGTGGCCTCATGGAAAGAAGCAGAGACCAGGCCACCTGAGTCCTAGCCCAAGCTCCAGCACCAGTGAGCATCTGACCTCAGCCCAAGGCAGCATGCACATATTCAGCACGCAGGGCCCGCATGGAAGGCCAAGCGAACAAAGAGATGTGTCCACCAGAGGGCAGGAAGGGGGGCAGTGAGGCTGGGAGGACACAGACCCCAGGGGCAGGAGGGAAAAACGTGGGTGGGAGAGGTCAGGGCTTGTGGGATGGAGCCATCGGCCAGGAGGCATCCACAAGTGTCCGGGACAATGAGACTGGGAAGTGAGGCTGGGAGGACACAGACCCCAGGGGCAGGAGGGAAAAACGTGGGTGGGAGAGGTCAGGGCCTGTGGGATGGAGCCATCGGCCAGGAGGCATCCACAAGTGTCCGGGACAATGAGACTGGGAAGCAGGGTGACAGTGAAGAGGGTAAGCAGGATGAGGCATGTTTGATGCCCATTAGGGATGTGGAAATGGCAGAACTAGGTCACCAACCAGGTGTGGGGAATTAGTGAGGAGAAGCAGCAAGAAATGAGCTGCGGAGGTGGACGGGTGGCGTTTACTGAGTCAGGAAACACGGAAGGAGACAGTACACTTCAGGCCTCCTTGATCTGAGAACTTACAGAACATGAACATGCAAACTTATTGGAAAGCAAGCTACTAGAAAGCAAAATATGACAAAATGCATTTTTAAAGGGTGCTCAATGCTGAAGAGGTTGGAAATCAGTTAAGGGAATTTACAACAGCAAGAAGACAAACCAACCGAAAGCCCTAAGGAATGCTCATTACATCAGAAAAATAGCCAGGGCAAATGAAAGCCCTGTCCTGTTCAAAGTCCATCAATTGGTGAATGGACAAACCGTGGGACGGGCACACAGGAGAACGTGAGAGGCAGTCACCAGACCAAACTACTGGCAAACTCAGTGAACGGATGAACTGACAGAGCAAGAAGCAGAGTGAAAAGAGCAGACACAGGAGCACACAGTGACAGCTTCACAGTCAGTGGAGATCCTCAAACAGGCAAAACCATGGGGACGGGGCGGCGAGGAGGGGGACTGCTTGGAGGGAAGGGTTTGTTTCCTCTGTGGACACAGCAGGTGTTGTTCAGCTGTTCACCTCGGCCAAAACCCACCCTCAACCCCAACCCACAGTTAAAAATTGGTGAGTTTACTACATGCAAATTGTGTGTAATAAAATTATACGTAACAGATTTTTAAAAACTTTTTTTTTGACAAAAATAAAGCTGATTTTTTTAAAGAACAAAGGTTTTGACTTAGGCGTATATAGGACACTAAAAGAGCAAGCCACAGACTAAGAGAGAATATCTGCCAAGCATGCATCTGAAAAAGGAACTGTATCCAGAACACATAAAGAATTCTCAAATTCTCAGAAGAAAACAACTAACCCGATAAATAAGCCCGTGAGAAAATGTTCGGCATCATTAGGAAAACATGAATTAATGAGCTATTCCCACACCTCCACCAGAATAGCTAAAATTTAAAAAGACTGACCGTCCCATGTGCTGGTAAGGACACGGAGGATGTGGAGCTCTCACACACTGCTGGGGGGAATGTAAACTGGTGCCATCACTTTGGAAAACTGGCCATTTATTAAAATGCTATGATCCAGTCATCTACTTCTAGGCATTTACCCCAGATAAACAACTGGTGATTGGACAAACTATGGGACATCCACGCAGTAGAACGTGACTCCAAAGACAGATGTGTACAAGACGTGTACAAGAATGTCACTGCAGCTTCATCCGTAAGAGCTCCAAAGCGGAAACCACAGGTGCCCCTCAACAGGTGAATGGACAGCCCGTGACACATCACGCAATGGAACAGGACTCAGCAACAACAGGATGAATGAACAGCCCCCACACACAACATGGATCAACATCAAGTACTGCACTGAGAGAGAGAAGCCAGAACAGATAAAAGGACCACAGACTGTACAGTTCCACTTAAAGAACACTTTAAAAAATGCAGACTAATCTGTACTGACATCAGCAGGTCAGTGTTGCCTAGAGAAGGGGGAAGGGATGGAGAGATGGATGACAAGGGGCATGAGGAACACGGCTCTTCCCTTGTCTTGACTGTGGGGACAGTTACAGATATGCACACATCAAAATTTACCAAAATGCACACACTGAGTGTGTACAGCTCGCCGTATGTCATTAATACTTGAATGACGCTGTTGGCAATGCACACAGGACACAAGTTGCTGCTGGAGTGCCCCCTCATCCTTCTCTCGTTCACTGACGTCTTCCCCAAGGTGCCTTCCATTATCTCCAGCTCTGGTCTATGTATCAGAAGCTCCACTTTCCAGAAGAGCCATCTCCACATCAGCCTGGTGGGTGCTTCCACTAAGGTGAGCCACAAGCCAGCACAGCAGGTGCAACACTGAGCTCCGGACCTTCCCTAACTCCCACAGGCATAGTCTCCCTCACTGTGCCCCTCATCCAGGCACCTCCCGCTCTCAAAATCCCTGTCTGTGACCCAGTGACGCCCACTTACTCCAGTAGGCACACCTTTGGCCCCCAATTTTCTCCTTGTTTTCAGTCACCAAAATGCAGCCACAGTGATAGGTTCAAAATGCAGATCTGACCATCAAATTGCATCCATGACAATCCAAACTCCTTGCTATGGCTTAGAAGTTCCTCTCCCCTAACGTGGGCCCTGCTAACTCTTGACTCTTCCCTGCTGGGCTGGGCTCAGTCCCCACACCAGGCTCTCTGGGCACAGTGCCCTCTGCCCGGCTGTGTGCACCCTCCTGTCTCCCTTACCCGAGGTCTCAGCTGACAGCAGGACCCTTGGCGTCTGCCCTGCCTCAGGTGGACAGGAGAGCCCCTGATGAAGCGCCTTGTGGGGCTGGGGTACAGCTACTGATTGCAGGTCCCATGATGACGACGATCACAGACAGCATTGCGTCTACACGCAGGGCCTGGGCATTGCAAGGGTGCAACACATGCTCCAGAAAGAGCATGACTGGAACCAGACCAAGTATAGCCAAACGTTCTCATGAAATGCACACACCCAAGTGATCCTAAGTTTTAGACTGGCTTAGAAACCTTAGCAACAAGAAAACTGTGCCAAGGCTATGATGAACTGCAGCTATTTTATCCAAGAAACGCAGGTGGAAAGGTGGTAGACTCTCCACATAAAATAGATGTCCAAGTATTGATAATCAAAGAAAACAGAATGCAAACAGGAAAGAACTGATAAGGCACAAAAGGACATGACCTGTTAAGGAAAGATGGAAAGGATACTAAAATACAGAGGGTATGTTTGGTCAAATATGATTCCTGGAGGCCAAATGCTGTATTTAAAAAAAAAATCTGTCCCTGCTGGTTAATGGAGAAATGTCATTTCTGCATGTTCTGCACAGCAGAGCCATTAGGGAATCTACCCTTAGGATACATAATGGTTAATAATTTTTAAAAATGTATGAGGCATGTTTCTTCTTCTAATTTAAGCAAATAAGTCGCTTCATAAAATCACGACCTTTTTCACACTAGTGTTGCAATGGGTTGACTGAGACAAGTGAACTAACTTCCCCAATACTATGAGGCATGTTTCTTCTTCTAATTTAAGCAAATAAGTCGCTTCATAAAATCACAACCTTTTTCACACTAGTGTTGCAATGGGTTGACTGAGACAAGTGAACTAACTTCCCCAATACTTAAATTACGTAAAATAACTTGATGTGATCTCTGCAAAGTGCAGTTAGGGGTGTTAAATAGTTATTCCTTGACCTGATTTCTCAAAGACCTCTTTCTTATTCCTCTCATCAGCAATCTAGAGAAAACTGCAACTCCAAAACACTTTTTTTTCTTAAAACAGGAAAAGCAGCACAGTCACTTCCAAGCCAGGATTTCATTCTGAGAAACCCAATACATTGATGACATCCGGAAGAAAATGTGTCACACAGAAGGAAATGCACCATTTTGGCTTTGGCTATCACCTGCAAAACACCAAGCCCCATGCAGAACCACCACTATAAAACAAGATGACTAAGAGAAAAATAACAACCAGAGAAAGAATTCATTTCAAATTCACATTCTTGAAACTGCCAAACACACATAAACACCTCCTGTCAATGTGAAACAGGCAGATGTTCAAGGGTATGGAGTCAAAGTCTCAACAGTGGTGTTCAATTCCATTCTTAACTCTTCACACACAAACTACATGTACTAAGTGGGCCTTCCAGGATGAAGAAAGAAAAGGGTAGAAACTGATTTTTGACATCTAAATCAAAGATAATATTACATTTTTATAATATGCATTAAAAACTTACCTTATAACCAGGAAACAGTTAGATGTGTTACCAACCGCAAAATAGTCAGCTGTGGTCAAGATATCAATTCCATGAGGGAAAGTGCCCTAATGAAAAAGTGAAATTGGCGGGGGAAAAAAGATGAAAAATAATCTGAATGAGTGAAGGCATTTCAAAAGGTACAACCACCATATCGACGCACATTTACATCCATGAACGAAGAGGCTAAAACCATGAGCTACGAAACTGCTCTCACACGAGGACGTTCAGGTCTAGCTGACTTTTTGATTGCCTATCCAGGCCAGACACCGTGCTAAAATTATTTATACCACTTACAAGTATCTAATTTTCTTCAGACAACACATACATTTCAACTTCAAAATGCTATAAGAGACCTTTCTTCAAAACACACTCACAGAAAGACATCAGGTTTCAGTAGCATCAAAGCTCCTGTCTCGAACCGCCTGTGACCGTCCAGGCACAGAGACCACAACGTGGTGCTCACCCTGCAGGGGCAGGCCTACGTGGGGGTCCACAGGGAGGCAGGAGCCTCCCTGGCCTAAGAAAGCTGCACAGGAGCCCACTGCTTAAGGACAAGATAAAAGCTGGGGAACAACCAACCCGGCCAGCGCCAGGCAGGGCTGACGGCGACCCCCAGAAGTAGCAGTGACAGGCAGTGAGCCCCGAGACTCTGCGACGAGGAGGTGGGGGCCTCTTCACTCACACCCACGGACGCCCTCCCAGAGAAGCGCCAGCGCCAAAGTCTGCATGTTATTACTGATACCACTCCCAGGTAAAAATATTTGAAAATCTGGAAATAATATAAGTCATTTTCTAGGGAAATGGAAATGATAAACTTTTAACCAAACACTGAAAGCCTTACGGCTATCAACCACAGAGGGACTTTGAAAAGGACTCAGAGAAGCCCCCAGCTTCTGGCCCAGGTAATGGTCACCAGGCCATCCCTTCTCATTTCAAGGACTGGGAATGCCCCAGCCACATAGCAGAAACAGGGGCACCCCTGATACATGCCCAAAGCTGGCATGCATCTGACAACAATGCCCAGAAAACAAGCTTCCAACCACCAACACCCCAACCAGCTGCGTTCCTGTACTTTGCACAGATGTAAGAATCTATGTGAGCATACACTGTCAACATCGCCAAACCATTGCTCTGCACAACCCAGCACCACAAAGGACTCAATAAGGATCTATCTCCTGCTGCAGCCTTGTCAATCACGAGGACGGGCACACAAGTGACCAGCTCCTGGGTCAAACTCACACATAAAGGACCAAATTCAGGATCTGAGTCCAAGTTTCTATGGAACTCGGACCATTTATTATCACAAAAACAATGTCAAAAAATGATGGCTTAGTTCTCAAGCTACCGATGAAAGCCAATTTGCTCAAGGATGTGGTGGAATCAGTTAAACCACCCTGGTTCCTGACAGCTACAGGCTCAAGGCGGCTAACCAGGAACCCCTGGGTCTCGCTGCCCTTGTCTTCCTGCTCTCTGGAATCTGCCCTCTGGACTAACCTCAGGCACCGAGTCAGGCAGAAGCCAAAAGGCCACGGTTGTGGCTGATTCGGGTTTGGTGCTGGTGCCTTTGCCCAGCAGGAGCAGCTTCTCCACACCCACCCACACCTGCCCACCTTCGCAGCCAGAATTCAGACCCCTCGTGAACCCCTTTGACACCTTCCTTGCCAGTGATCCTGGCACCTGATCTGTGTGATAACTTAGTGAGTGCCACTGAACAGACAGCTCTCCCAAGAACACCCAAGAGGAGGAGTGGACAGAATGAACAGAGGTGGCTCAGGCTGGTAGATCCCCAAAAGCTTCTGCCTGAGGCTTCTGGACTCAGCCACAGCACGTGTTTCTGTTATTTAATTGTGTGACGGGAGAGAAACCCGCACCCCAGGGAACGGTGCTGTGGCTCATTCTGCAGGAAGACAGTGTGAATGCAACCTGGCAGCCACAGTCGCCCACCTGTGGCTGAGGCAGGACCCCCAGCCCCACACCACAGCAGGCAAGGGCCCAGGAGTGGCCCAGGGCCAGGTCCCACCAAGAAGGAGGACAGAGAGACCCTGTGTCCAGCAATCGCCACAGCATATGATGAGAGCAAGGGCCAAGGCCCTCATCTGCCCAGCGGGCTGTCCTGTCCTCTTGAGGCGGGGGCGGGGGTGGGGGCTGAGGAAGTGGGCTCCAAGCAGACCAGGGCAGGGCTCGGCCACCCAGCGCCTCAGTTTCCTCACCTTTACAGGAGGCAGCAGGGGCCTGGGTGGGGGCAAGCCACCACAAATGCCCAGTAGCGCCCACGGCCTGATCAGCACCTACCCACGGCAGCAGAGTCACGAGACCAGCATTACTGGCAGGCACCAGACATGGGAACTGTTCGTGGGTTACTCACAACCTGCCAAGGCCCCCTGGGCCCAGGTGGGAGAGAGCAGAGACCACCTCCCATGGAGAGAGCCCTGGCTAGCCGGCACCTCAGGAAAAGAAGAGCCCCTGACCGCTGTCCTGTTCTGCAGAAAGAGACAGATGGACAACAGCTGTAACTGATGCTGGTGTTAGGACCCAAGCCTCCAATGGGGTGAGCTCTAGCCACTGCAGCTGGGCTGTGCCCATCCTCCTCCCATGGAGGGACGGGGGACAGGGTGCTGGTGGGGCTGGAAGGGTGGGGACAGGGGGACTTTCCTCTCATGGGCTGCAACTCCAGGTGGCTGGTGACACCCTCAGTTCAGCTAGGTGGCTGCTGGCAAGTTCCTTCTTCATGGCAGCCACACTTTTCCCTCACAGCCCAAGTCTCGGCTCGCAGTGCCTCTCCCTACACCTCCATGTTTCCTCCTCATCCTCTCTTCCCCTCAGCCTGGGACGCACACTCTCAGGAGCTCCCTGCGTGCACCTGCCCCCGTGGGACACAGAGCTCGTCCCTTCACAGGTTAACCATCTCTTCCCAGGGAACAAGCTGCCAGAGAGAGCAGCTGTGGTCCTCACTGGGCTCCTTCCGTGGGAAGCAAGCCCACACCAGGGACACACTATTCCCCCAGAACAAGTGCAGTAAATGCAGAACATTCAAGAACTTCTGAGATTTCTGTGGTGTCTCCCCTTCCAGGTGACTCTGGTGTCCGAGTTCTCCTTAGGACTCATTTTGTCATCACCTTGGCCTTGATGGTCCATCCCACATTGGATGACTCTCCTGGAAGGTTCCTTGGCGATCCAAGGCCTTACACGTGCCCACATCAACTCCACACGGCCTGGCCACAGCTCAGACCCTGCTGCAGGTGCAGCAAAGCAAACCAGCAAACCCTCTCTGCTGTGGCCAGCAGGCAAGCCAGGCACCCCGACTGAGACAGGCTTCCCCACCTGCATAGGACCCAAGCACACCACCAGGCTCTTGCCAGCACAGCACCCCCAAGGTCTCCTTTCAGCCCTAGAGGGGGTGGGGCTTGGTCCTGGGTGACTCACGCAGGTGACTGCTCACAGCCAGAGCACGTGGACAGAGGGGGCCCTTGACCACACTAGCACTCACTGCCCCTTCTGCTCTCAGCCCTGCAGGAAGGGGCTCCTTGGGCTGGAGGTATAAGGATCCAGGGAGAAAAGAGACCCCCAGGAGGGCACAGAGCACCTCCACCTCAGTGAAGCCAGACTGTCCACTCGCTGGTCACTGCAGGGTCCCAGAGTCGCGGGCAGGCAAGTCAGGGCAGAGCCAGAAAGAGCACAAACGGACCCTGCAGCTACAGCGTCCAGGGAAGAGCTGGGGAAGAGCAGCCGCCCCTGTGCACAGGAGAGCCGGCACGCCCAGGGCCTCAGTGGGGAGGTCCGGAGCCTGGTTCTCAAAGTGCATCCCTGGCAGGAGCCTCAGTCTCCCCCGGATGTGGTAGGAAAGACGTTTGCTCAAGTGTGAGACCCACTGGTTTTTGGTGGAGGCTCCCTTCTCTCAGATGCCCGCCTCTCCATGCTTCGGCTGGTCGCGTGCTCCCCTGCGGTCGGTCCTGCAGCTGCACTTCTGCCCCGCATCAGAGGTCCCACATGGCCACCATGGTCAGTGGTCTCAGAACTTGCATTGCTGGTGCCAGGCCCTCCCCCTGCCTCTCCGGCCACCTTTGACCTCTTCCCCGCTTCTTTTCCATCAGGTATCTGCAAAGGTGGTGCCTTGGCCTTCGATCACCTCCCCTGAAGCCATTGCCAATGCCCCGGTCGGTCCTGCAGCTGCACTTCTGCCCCGCATCAGAGGTCCCACATGGCCACCATGGTCAATGGTCTCAGAACTTGCATTGCTGGTGCCAGGCCCTCCCCCTGCCTCTCCGGCCACCTTTGACCTCTTCCCCGCTTCTTTTCCATCGGGTATCTGCAAAGGTGGTGCCTTGGCCTTCGATCACCTCCCCTGAAGCCATTGCCAATGCCCTCACCAGAATATACCCATCTCCTCAGGACCAGAGCCTAGCTCACACCCACAGCGCAACTGGCTTTGTGACTTTCTATCCTCCATACATCCACTCTGAACGTGCCTTGGATGCCTTGTTATCATGCAAGGCCAGAACCGGATGTTCCCCTTGCCCCCAGTCCAGCCTTTCTCTGACGATTTCTCATGGGAACCCTCCTCCCCACCTCTCCAGCCCAGGCCATGGTCCCCTCTCCTGCTTCTGTCCCTTTCTCCTGCCAGGCCTGTCACTATCACACACAGTGTAACTAATTCAGGACAACACCTCCCAGGCACAGCTGCCCAGTGAGCCTGGTCAGCATCAGAGGGCACAGCAAGGCAGCCTAAGCCCTGGTGATACCGGCCGGCAGGGAGGGGGTCGCAAGGTCAATGGCTTCCGGAAGCTGTGGTCCAGGTGAGGTGGCAGCTAATACCATCAGAGCCGGCTCCCACTCCACCCCGCCAGTGCCCATGGCCACTGATGACAGGGCATGGCCCTCAACAACGCACAAGGCATGGTCGTGGCCCGAGCAGTGCAGTTACTTACACGTGCAGGTTTCCTGGAAAACACACGGCCAGTGTTTCAGGATGTGTCAATACTTGGGAGTCATGTCTTGGTGAGTGTGGCCGCAGGCCAGAAGCCACCATGCTCTTCAGCTCACTCCAAATCACATTTTTACCCACATCTAACCACACAGGAAGACCCTGAGCTCACAGCTCTCAAGATTTTTACCTCTAGACCTGCAGGAGGCTTTAGGAATGAAGATTTTAAGAAGCAGCCATACCTGTCTCCCCACATTCTCCTGGAAGGCAGCCTAGGGAGGAGAAAGAACAAACACAGCAAGTGAGTGAGCTCTGCTGCCGCCAGACAGCAGAAGACAAATTCAACACAAACACAGCACGGTACAGATGACCCATGGCTTTACTTTTTAAACAAAAGTCCTCACTGTTGGCTGAACAGAGCCTCAAGGGTAGTTTGTCACTCTGTTTTAATGTCCTGGTGCTCTTTAAAACCACGATTTAAGAACTCAAGTTTATAAAATCAGACACATCTTGAAAAGTGGCCTTTAACTATGAACACTGAGCTTCACACCAGTGTCCACGTTAAGGCACTAGATTATAAAAGTAGAAAGAGAACTAAATAGATTGGTTAAAAAAAGAGCCAAATACCTACAACATTCCTCCTTGGGAATTTTATGGCAACAGCTCATGTTAACCCATGTCTGTAAGCTCTCTTCCCTGGGGGCCAACTGCCCGAGGCCAAGACACACTCACAAAAAACGCCCTTAAGCCCACTTCCTGAGTCCTGAATGCCAGGCACAGCCCAAGGGCTGGTGAAAGGTCAAAACCATGAACTCAAACAAAACAAGGTGCTCTGAGGTGAACGTCCCCTAAGACATCGCTTCCTCTCTGGTCTACCTCCCACCTCGCCCCACGTGGGTGTGCCAACCCAGGAGAGCAGGGCACAGCAGCACCTCACTTTATCACCAGCTGGTGCCTCAGATGTTCAAAACCCAGGAGAGCAGGGCACAGCAGCACCTCACTTTATCACCAGCTGGTGCCTCAGATGTTCCCCAGAGCATCCAGGGCTCAGAGGTCTCCAGCCAGAGAAGGGGACATAAGTGGACACCAGCTATCACAGGACAGGTCATCAGGCCACACACACAGCCACACTGCATACACCATAGCACCGTGGGAAGGGCCCAGGGCAGAAGCCAGGGGGGCCAGTGCCTCCTGGAGATCCACCCCTGCCCGGGCAGAGACCACTTGCCCAGGGGCTTCCTGACGGACGGGCTGCAGGAGAAGCGCGTGCAGAGAGTAAACATGTGAAACACGAGTCCCCGGGGCCTATACTCCAGCCCTGACGGGACAAGCAGACACATGTCCCTCATCTCTGGACATTATACAGAAAAGTGGACATGTGGCTGTCTCCAGGGCAGGACTTTGGTGGCTGGGGAGGAGGTACAAGGAGACTGGCACTTCATGGATGGCTCTCGTGTGGCTTTGAAACTAGGAGGAGGGAGGCTTGATTTTTGCTGTTTACAATTTTGTAACTTTTGCAATAAATTTATTAAAGAAACAAAACCAACCAAAAGGCAATGCACACACACACAAAAAGGACAAAGCAGAGAAGACACCATGTCAACTTAAATAAGACACAGCATTTAGGACACATTCACCACCCTGGTGACATCATCTAAAAGGTAGAAAACAATACAAGATTTATGTGGAAAAGCACAAGCCCTGCATAGTGAAACCACCTTGACAAAGAAGGAGAAAGCAGGAGGAATCACCCCATCAGCATCAGGGCTGACCAGACGCGGGGTCATCAGGGCAGCACGCATCAACGGAACAGGACAAGATCCCCGGGAGCCAGGGCTGGGCAGAGAGTTCTCAGACTCAACGGTGAACACGTGACCCACAAAGGAAAAAACTGACCAGCCTCATCAAAATTAAAAACTGGGAGAAAATATCTACAAATCACACATCCAATAACAGACTAGTATCTAAAACATAAGAATAAGTCTTAAAGTGACACACACACACGCACGCACGCGCATGCAGGCAGGGGCAGCCTCACACACCCAGAGAGTGAAACGTGACCAAAACGTGCACCAAAAAGGGTGACGAGTCTTTTTCTGGAGAAGCAGTGTCGTGGCAGCGAGTTTCACTCCCCGCTGCTGGTCCTCAACCCTCATGTTTCGAATGAGCTCCACAAGCGCGCGGCTTCACCTCCCACTGCCTCAACTCTGCAGTCAACCAGGTAAGCCGGAGTGCACGCAGATGCTACTGAATGAAAGAAACTGCTGGCCAATGTAAAGGGATTTTAATTTTAACTAGAAAAAGAAAAAAAATGGTTTATATTGTTTTATATCACCTCACCCCCAGGGTTCATAAAGGGTTTATAAGTGCCATGATTTTATTATTGCTTCCCATAAAAATGTCTTAGGTTAGGGCCGGCCCGGTGGCGCACTGCTACAGTGCGCCGCTTGGGAGTGCGGCGGCACTCCCGCGGAGGGTTCGGATCCCACATACAGACCGGCCGCTCACTGGCTGAGCAAGGTGCGGGCGCAACACTGAGGGTTGCGATCCCGTTGCCGGTCCCGGTCCGGTACGGGCGCAACACTGAGGGTTGCGATCCGTTGCCGGTCACGAAAAAAGACAAAAAGGAAAAAAAAAATGTCTTAGGTTACAGTAAGCAGCAAAGAAAACACAAAAGTTAATTTGTAAGTAGAGATTTAACATAAAATTTTCTTATATTTCAAAGAGTCTTACAATTACTGCCTGTTGGGTAAATACCACGGCAAAACATGAAGACTTCAGAAGGAATTACCAGGCTTTCTACAGACACTTGAGACAAGGTAAGAGCAACTGTGGGAACGAGGAAGAGTTTCTGAGCTTTCCTGGCTAACTTCCTCCTGAAACAAAGCTTTAAAGGATCTGAGGCAGACAAAGACTGACTTACATCCTGACTATTTTAGGATACAGAGAGGGCAGGCAGGCCATCAGAAGCTGTAGAAGATCATGACATTCTGAGCCGGAAAGACCTCAGATATTACTTAAGCTCCTGCATTTTAGAGAGGAATCCAACACTTCACCTACGTAGTCCCACTCAGTAGAGGTCACAAAATTAATCACCGGCACAATTGGAACTCTGAAAATCCCACATTCATTCGTTCATTTGCCCATTCATTCACTCATGCACAGAAACAGAAATTTTCTGAGCACCCCCCACATGCTGGCCAGCGTGCCAGGCACAGGGGCTGAGGCAGCAATGAGAGACACAGGTCCTGTGCACACAGCTGCCACCGCAACCAGAGGGCACACAGATCAGGACATGATGGGAGACTAAACGTCTGTAACAAGCAACAGAAAAACAAAGAGACCGCCGTGATGTGGCAGACAGGGCCTCCTCCAACACCCAGCCATAACGTGTAGCAACTCAGAGGAAGTGAAGAAATTCCTTGGCTAAGCAGGTCACAGAAAGGCTGCACAGACCTCTACTGAATAAAGAAATTGAATTAATAGTTAAAAATCTTTCCAAAAATAAAAATTAAAAGAATAGGCCCACATGGGTTCACTGGTGAGTTCTACCAAATATTTAAAGTAAAAATAATATCGATTGTTTGAAAACTCTTCTACAGCTCATTCCATGGAAACATACTACCCTAATTCCAAAGCCAGGCAAAAATATCACAACAAAAGAAAACTAGAGACCAATATACCTTATAGACTCAAAAATTCTATTTTTGAGAAGACTGGCAAAGCAAAACCAGCAGTATTTTTTTTAAAAAGTATACCTTAGATTTTTTCCCAAGAGCACGAGGTGAGTCTAACATCTGAAAATCAACTGATGCAATACACCACATCACATCAATAGAATAAAGGACAAAAACCACATAATCATCTCAAAATCCAACACCCATTCATGGTTTTTAAAAAAGACGCTCAACAAATGAGCAATAGGAAGGAGCTTCTTCAACGAGCACAAGGGACTCCAGGATGAACCTACGGCTAACACGCACCTAACGGGAAGGACTGAACACGGGCCCTTGAGGTGGACAGCAGGAAAGGAGTCCCCTCCCACTTCTGACTGGTTCTGACCGGTGCGGTTAGGGAGGAAAAGAAATAACAGGCCTCAAGTTTGGAAAGGTCACAGAGGACATCATATGTAGAGAATTGTAAGGAACACACACAAAACTACCACCACTGCTGCTGATAAACGAGTTCCATCAAACTAATAACAGCATGGGGAAGACCCCTCTGTTCCCACATCTTCCCTCCCCACAGAGTCCTGCTGTGGGCAGAAGCAGTCAGCCACATCCACCACAGTGCATGCCACGGGGGCACCCAAGGCCACAGTGCTGCACAACCTCGGGGCAGCAGTCGACGCCGCTACAGACGAGTGAACTACCAGAGGACAGTGTGCAGGGTCGTGTCAGGGAGACTACAGCCCTGCTCGACTGACACGATGGTCACAGAGCCCACCCCTACATTCATACAAAGAGACATATCAGAATGAGAAAACTTACAGAGGCCGCTCTTCTGCAGTTAACGTTTCGGTCGAACACCGCGGCGATCACCAGCGCACTGTGAACGAGAGGGAAATGATTCACTGGAAGGAAATCTGCAACATAATGCAGACCACGTGACAGGATGAAAAGGCCATTCTCTCTCACTTGCTCACTCACGATTCCCTCACCCACCGTCCAGAATGCGTCCCACAGACACCGCACACGGTGAGCCTCCCAGACGTCACCAGGGAGCCAAGAATGGCTAGCCCCCACTGCAGCAAGAGCACGCAATGGCACACAAAGAGCTGCCACACATGGGTGCTGGGGACAGGACACACTTGGCCTGTTGTGGGGCAGGGGGGAAGGGGGGTATCCGATGCAAAGCAAAGACGGAAACAGGGTGACCCAGAGGAGGAGGACTAGCAGCATGCAGGAGGCAGGCACACGGGTAGCTCACAGTAATGCCCAGGGTTGAGCCTGCGCAAGCCTTCCAGACCAGGCTGGCCTTAGTGGGCCTTGTTCAGGGGACAGTAAGTCTACACAGACAGATACACATGTATCCAGTGTGCCCAGGAAGGCCCAAGGCTCCAGGAAGGCAGCTCACCCTGCGGAGGCACCTTCCCAGGTTGTCACAACAGACAGTGGCCGTGGACACAACCTCACCAAGCACAGGAAACAGCTACTGGGTGTCACACAAAGACCACAGAGCTGAGGCCATGTCCTCCCCCAAGCCAAACCACTACCACACCACAAAGAGCAAAGCTTTTCCGAAGTCACAACGCTCCTCAGGCTCCATTCAAACCTCTTTGTTAGACCATCAGATTTGATTATTGTGGATAAGCCAGAAAGCCCCTGTGTGACCTTGTGTTGCCTTAGCAGCAACGGAACACCAAGGGTTTGAGGCAGATGAAGAACTGTTCTGGGTACAGCTTAAGAACTTGCACTTCCTATCAGCCTACAGAGAGAACAGAATGTGAAGGAAAAAAGCATTTCAACACACAGAGGTCAGTACCACCCCATCAGTGATGTGGGCTCCTTAGGACCAGACCCTGTGCCTTGCTCTCAGGGAGGCTATGCCTGACATATGCTCAGACACTCCAGATTACCATGAGGGACATGGCTGGGCCTTGGGCAATGTCTCAGGCTGAAAGCTCCTGTTTCTTGGGCACTACCAGCTGCCTCTGACCAATGTTCCTGGACTTCACAGGAATGCTATGGAAGAGGACAGGGCCACGTGGCTGCATCTATCACCAGTGGCCAGCAAGGGCTGCCATTCACCTGCTTTCGTGACCAACAACCATGGCAGGAGCACACCACCACAGGCTGCAAGGCACCCCTGGCAGACAAAGCGTACACTCCACCCACGTTTCAGACAAATGCTCGCTTCAGTGTGGGCACAACTCAGAGTCCAAATGTGGGAAGAGAGGAGGCCCCTTCCAGGCAGCTCCTGAGACCACCAGGGCCAGGAGAGACTGGTTAATCCAGCTGGCTGTAGTGTCCAGCTGTCCTCGCAAACGCTGCAACAGGCAGGTCAGAGCCCAGAGTGGGGACAGATGGAAAGACAGGTGCAGAAGCACCTGCCTCTGTTCCATCCTCACAGCCATAGGTGAAGAGCCAGAGATGCTGGAGCGACGCTTACCAGCACCGTGAGCAACGTCCAATGCCCACCTCTCATGGCTCACTCACCCACGCTAAAGGGCCCAAACCACCAACCACCAACCTCTGCAAGATGAAGATAATGCCCCTCACGCAAGGCAGGGGGACCTGCCTCCACTCACAGACCCCCTTGACTCCCCAGCCCACACACATCACGCTCCCAGGGACCTAAAGCGCAGTGTGTGTGAAGCCTGCAACCCGAGCCCCACTGCTCCTGCTGCTCCCCCAGTGCCCATCTCCTCCCAAGACGGATCCTTACTCCCACGCTCTGCCCTCCTCCTCCCAGCCAATCCTTGGGGTGTTCCATTGGCGCGTCCACAACTTCCAGTTCTTCCAGTTTAAACAACAAAGTCCTGAATCGTACCAAGCTCTTCCGCTACACCACCCCTGTCCATTCCCCCGGTGGTCAGCAGGATGGTGCTCCTTTCCCAAAGAGGCTCACAGCCTAATCCCCAGAACCTGCAAACTCGTCCCCTTACATGACAAAGGAGAGTCAAAATTACTAAGCAACTCACCTTAAAATGGGGAGAGGGCCCTGGATTATCCTGGCAGGCCCAGTGTAATCAAGAGCCCTTAAACATGGAAGCAGGACACAGAAAAGGGAGACCTAGAGATGTGCAGCATGGGAAGGACACGACCAGACGCTGTGAGTGCTGAAGGAGGAGGAAGGGCCATGAGTCAGGGACACACTTGCCTCCAGGACATGGAAAAGGAACAAGAGGCTCCAGAAAGGAAGGGCGACACCCATGGGGCCATGTCAGACCTGCGACCTCCACATGCACACAGCGAGACCACATGGCAGAAAGGCAGGGCCACACCCCTAAGTCTTCCAGTTTGTAAGACACTCTAGAAACAGCAAAGCTATCAGGACAAAAGCAGATCAATGGTGGCCAGGGGTTGGGGCAGAGCAAGGGAGTTTGGGGGGTGACGAATGTTCTGTTTGCTTCTGTAGTTGCAGAACACAGCTCTACAAACTTGCCAAAACCACAGAACTGCTCACGACGAGAGTGAATTTTACTGGAGGCCAGGGATAGAGGAGTGAGCCCATGTGCATCGCAGAGGAGCAGCATGCCAGGCCGGGGGTGCACCGGACACACCAAGGATGGGCATGAAAAGAAGTGCACAGAACATTCTGCCTGGCGGGTAGACCTGTTTGTCACGTGTGTGGGAGCTAGCAGTTCCGAAAGTGCATCACACATGTTCTGGGGTGGGACGTGCTGTGGCAGAGAAGCCGCAGTGCGTGAGGAGGAGCAGGGTCCATGTGAACACGGGGCTCCCAAGCCCCACCCTCCACTAAGAGCAAGTGCTGCTTCCAGGGCCAAGGCAGGGAAGAGAAAAGCGGGGCACATCTCGTGGTGCCAGAAAGGAAGGAAGAGCTCAGAAATGAAAAGGACAGGACCATGCTGAAAGGACACAGGAGCCAACCTAAAACGGGCAAAGCTGGAAGAATGTGTATTAGACTGCGCCCGAGAACAAGATAAACACCCATGCATCCATATGATGCAAGCAGATGACTGAACAGAAAGGAAAAGGAAAGTGCCCACCAGACCACACAGCAGCTCCCATCGCAGGTGAGGTCCTGGACAGCCACTCAGACTTGGGGCAAGTTCAAGGAGAAACAGTAGGACAGTTACACAATCTTAAAGTATCTCCCTAAATCATGTATTACTTACAAAGGAAAAAACAGTCTATTTTACGGTGAAGGTACCCGGCAGGCCCCACCTTAACCAGGAGATCAAAGTCTACATCCCAGTGGTGAGTCTTGGGGCACCATGTACCCCTACATGACACACTGTGAAGGGTGTGTCACCTGAATCACTCTTCCCAGTAATGCACAGCCTCAGCCTAAACAAGAGGAAACACAAGACAAATGAAACTGGGAGACACTCTACAAAATATCTGACCAGAACTCTTTGAAAGTGTGGATCAAAAATCCAGAGACACACAGGGAAGACTGGTGGCTGGAAGGGGATGACTGCTAATGAACGTGGGGTTTCTTTTTGGGGTGACAAAAATGCTCTGAAATTACATAGTGGTAATAGTCGCACAACCCTGATACCCTAAAAACCACTGAACTGCACACTTTAAAAGGGTATGAATTTTAAGGCATGTGAGTTGTATCTCAATAAAACTGCTGGGTTTTTTAAAAAGTGCCCCATTGTCATAAAAGATGAGGAAAGACTGAGAAGCCAGGACAGGGAAACCTCACATGGGATCTGGAGGCAGAGTCTGCAACAGCAAGAGGATATCAGGGAGCAGCTGGTGGAACCCTACCCTGGCTGGGGTCTTCCTGATGGTGTGGAAGGTGGGGTCATAAAAGATGAAGAAAGACTGAGAAGCCAGGACAGGGAAACCTCACATGGGATCTGGAGGCAGAGTCTGCAACAGCAAGAGGACATCAGGGAGCAGCTGGTGGAACCCTACCCTGGCTGGGGTCTTCCTGATGGTGTGGAAGGTGGGCACTCTGGGGGCGGGGGGGGTCTACCAGAACTCTATTTTTTGCAATTCTTTAAGTCTAAAATTAACCTGAAATTAAAAGCTTCTTTTGAAAAGTAACTACCTGAAACTCCTGAAAGATACAGTATTAGTATCTGGGCTGCTTTCTGTTAAGCTCCTTCCGCTAGCTGAAACTAAGTAATTTCAGAAGAACTCCACTAACAGAAAATTACTCCCTTTTCCTCTCTAAACTCTTCATTATGTAACAAATTATAGACAGTCACAATGAGGAAAACAAATACTGGTTTAAAACTAAAGGGAATTCATCTTATTTTAGTGTGAACATTTTCAGATTGATCCTATCTCGATAATGGCTTTGTTAAAGTCTTAGAAATCATTAAAGTGATCAAGACATGTATTAAAGTGATCTTTCAATAACTAAAAAGTATAACTGCTATTCTTAAAAAATATTTGGTATTCTATCCTAAATATATTATCGGAATTAATAGAAATTTGTCGTATTTTTACATATTAATAAGAACTTCACTTTTCAAATCCATAAAATCATATGTTCTAGGAAAAGATATTAACCTAGAATTTTGCTTTCCTTTGACATCTGCCACAGGAGAAATGAAGACTTATATCTTTACTGACTCTGGCTCCAGCCAATAATACTGAAAGATCACACTTTACACTGAATTCTTGAAATTTCCTGTCAATTTGTTTGTACCAAATTACAATCTTTAAATTATGGGACACTGACTAATGAGAGACCAGAACAAATACAGAGAAGGAACTGAAACCACCCACCACCCTCACAAGCTGGCTGCAGCCCCTTCAAGGTTATGCCATCAACTCCAACGACTCCTCCAAGGCAGCCAGACGTGAGGGCGCAGAGCCCAAGAGCGTGGCACTCTGTCCCCAGCTGCCATCCGCGGACACTCTGCCCCTGGACAGAGCGAGCAGCCAAGAGCCCGATCTCAA